ATTACTCAAATTTAAATAAATTAATTTGTAATTAGATCCAAATTGATACACACCTGACTTTATTAGTGATAATAACAAACATATAGATATGAATTGATTTAAAATACAAATTGTTTTCATTATTATTTGTTCGGTTTATTATAAATATATTAAAACTATTATTAAATATAAATTTGTCTCAAAATTTGAATTATTAGTGATAATTGTGACAGCAAATTGTTCATAAGCGCCACAATTGTCTTCGCCATCCGGGTCTTCATCAGAACTGCATTGATAGCACTTTATGGACATTACTGGCCACCAATATATCATTCAAATTAATTATAATTAGCAATTATTACTCAAAATTGATTTAAAATACAAATTGTTTTCATTATTATTTGTTCGGTTTATTATAAATATATTAAAACTATTATTAAATATAAATTTGTCTCAAAATTTGAATTATTAGTGATAATTGTGACAGCAAATTAAATTTCAAACACAAAACTAAGAATCCATTGACTAATTAAAAACTTTTGTATAATTAAAATGTGAAAAGTTGGATGAGATGTGTAAAAAGTTATCTGGTTGAAACAAATGGGGTATACAAATTGAAAAATACTTTGTGACTCAAATGGTTTACAAAACAATTGATTTCCAATGAATGAAAAAGTGCTAAATTATTATTATTAATAATAATAGAAAGCCATTCATTCAAATGCAATGTTATGCTGAATGCAATGCAATGGGCGTTGTCTGGAGCGTCAGGTATCATAGGTAGCACAGGTATGTTTTTTCACTGGCAATGGCTTATACAGGTGTTTTCACAACAAAAACAACTTATACACCTTTCCCCTCTCATACCTGCCATTCGGGCGCTTATTTCTGAATTTTATTTACTTTAGTTTTTAATTTTTACAATATTTTTTCATTCATAGTAATTAACTTAAATCTCATTGAATATGAAACACAATATTCCGTCCCATAAATGCCTTACCATAACAACAATCGTTTGCCTAATTTATCTCATATCACCAGGTATGACATTGTTTTAATCACTAAAAAATTACTTAATTTATTATAGCATTTTAAAATATTCTGTATTGTTAATAAGTTAACATTTTATGTTCATTCAACTTATTGCTATTCTTGAAGTTTTATCTATTATCTATCAGTCATATTGTATTAATATTCATTCATTTACTGAACCTTTGTATACAATTTTTTTATTTGTTTCATACATTTTTAGTTTTATAAATTTATTTTATAATTTTATAATACAAATTAATACATTATAAATTATTTTTTCAATATAATTTGATTTTAATTACGAAATACTGTTTGTCATAGTTTTAAGCATAAAGTGTTGGGTTTGTCACTCGGATGCTGACCCCAAAGGTAGCACAGGTATGTTTTTTCACTGGCAATGGCTTATACAGGTGTTTTCACAACAAAAACAACTTATACACCTTTCCCCTCTCATACCTGCCATTCGGGCGCTTATTTCTGAATTTTATTTACTTAGTTTTTAATTTTTACAATATTTTTTCATTCATAGTAATTAACTTAAATCTCATTGAATATGAAACACAATATTCCGTCCAATAAATGCCTTACCATAACAACAATCGTTTGCCTAATTTATCTCATATCACCAGGTATGACATTGTTTTAATCATTAAAAAATTACTTAATTTATTATAGCATTTTAAAATATTCTGTATTGTTAATAAGTTAACATTTTATGTTCATTCAACTTATTGATATTCTTGAAGTTTTATCTATTATCTATCAGTCATATTGTATTAATATTCATTCATTTACTGAACCTTTGTATACAATTTTTTTATTTGTTTCATACATTTTTAGTTTTATAAATTTTATAATACAAATTAATACATTATAAATTATTTTTTCAATATAATTTGATTTTAATTACGAAATACTGTTTGTCATAGTTTTAAGCATAAAGTGTTGGGTTTGTCACTCGGATGCTGACCCCAAGTGCGCCGATCCCTTCGACAACTCCACGCTTCCCATCAAAGACTGTCGAGAAGTCAAATACAGTCACTTGACTCTGGGTTAGTTTGCAGACAATGTGACCGCAGACTTAATTTGCACTCAAATATAATTGTTTGTCAAAACAGTTGATCCGTACGAAGATTTGAAGTATGACTACGAGAGGAAGCACCCGCAGGTACCCGGGTATCGACCGGTGCAGCCACGACCGCCCCCGCGTCTCTTGGAGGCCACAATGTGTCGCAAAATAAGGCAAAAAATTCACGGAAACTGGAGAACCATCAGAAGCTGCGCTTTTCTGGGCTCTCCCGGCGAAGGCACCGGCAATGAACACAATTGCCTCTATAGACAGGGTATGAAATATCTAAGCTATCCATCCATCAGTCATTTCATACAATTACTGCATTTAGGAACCCATGACATCTACACCGAGTTCTGCACCTGTAATAGTAAGGATGGATGCAATACCGGTGCCCTACACATTGCAACGCCACTCATAATCTCAGCATTCATTATAATCTCCACATTAATCTTAATATTTTAACATTTAATCAAATAATGCTCACAATTTAATCAAATATTTTACACATTTATACAATATAATTGTCATTCACTATAAAACTACTACTAATTACAAATAAGTTATGATAAACTGTATGTTATTTGGACTGATCAGGGTTGTGCTGTAATTCGAGCACTTTGGACAAGTCCTCTTCGCCAAACTCAATGGCATACTTCCTCTTCCTATTGAGTGATCTCTGGGAACGTCTTGAGCCGAACTTTTCATTGATTTCATCCATTTGCTCTTTGGTGGTGAGGGGCGTGAGTGCGGCGTCTTGAGGTCGCGCGAACACTTCAATCTGCGGTTTCATTGCGAAGAGAGATAGAGAGTGCACTTCGAGGACACCGTTGCGACGGACGCCCAGATAATACTCGGAGGACTTGTTGAGCGAATTGTCTCCAATGAACTTCATGTGGGAAGTGGTGTCCACTGCAGTCAATCCAATTTGGTTGGTCTTGGGGTCCTTCACGAGTGTGT